ACTTGGCCAGCAGATACGGGTTGTAGGCAACTACAAACTCGTTGCTGACCTGGTGTCCCCTCACGAGTGCCTCGATCCCGTTGTCTCGTCGACGGTACGTTGGGTACCCGCCGTCAAAAACGTAAACTGTCTCTGCACTATATGCCTTTGGATATTTCTTTAGACATATCCCTTCAGCCATACACGGACTGTCGCGGTTCAGTTGCCCACATGGTCCGTGTATCATGTGACTCGTCACAGCTGTGAACAGTCTCTGATTGTTCTCGTCTGCTGGGTCTGGCAGTTCAGCGCACACGACATCGTCTACATCCTTGGCTGTGAGCAGCTTGTTGCCATCGCTAAGGATGATGAGTATGTGTGCGTGTGGCAGACCGCGTTTTTGAAACTCAACAGTGTAAACATATGCGTCTACGTTACCAAACACTCTGTTCTCAGTTATGTCTGACATGAGCTGCTTGAGTTTGGCGTGAAACACTCTTGCCTCCAGTTCGGGTCTGTCACCTGCAACTGCATGATTTCCTTTGTTGCTGGCGATCTCAGGCCACCCAGGATTGCAAGTGAAGGTAATGAACAGGTCGGGTTTGCCGTACTTGCGCACTATGGTCATTGCATCCTGGTAGCTCTGTTTCATGTAACGCGGACCTCCAGTGAAGGTCGACCGCAAAATCATTCTGCGTCCAACCGGGGCAGGTTCTTCAATGTGCAACTGCTGGTTGATGTGATCCACCAGGCCCTGATACGCTTCGGCAAACAGAGCACCAGAGGATTGGCGTTGGCAATTCTCTGTTCCTCCAGCCACACTGCTCTCATGTTGCTGAATGCCATGGCAAATGGATTGGTTTGCCTCAGCATCGTGTCCAAGTCTGTAAGCACAGTCTCGTTTAGCTCACCCTGGTGGTTCTGGCTCATGCGAACCCGGTTTGCTTCCACCGATTCAATGAAATAGAGCTCACAGTAACTTGGGGGTCAGTCGTCGTTTCTGACGACGTCGTTGGTGATCCTTCGATACACCTGTCCGTTTACAGTGAACACTCTCGGTCCGCGACCAGGCAATCTTCTCTGATTGAGGTCAGTGGAGAAGGCGGCAAACGCAAGAGTGTTGTTGTACCGTCCTATGTTTCTACGGAACTGGATTGCTATCCGTGAGTCGTCTACCAACAAACTCTGTAGCAATTCAGGTGCTTGTTGCAACCGACGGGGTCCTTCAGGAATCACCATCTGATTGTTGTTGCAACACAATGTGAAATGACCCCTCAAAGTGCGTTCACAGTTGAAGTGACGGGCCTCACAGTGCCTGCAGACTTCATTCAACGGCCCGATATCGTGCCGATCCGGAAGTGGGTGTCGAATGCTGGCTGGCCTGTCTACTCGTGGCGCATGAACTCTTGGTAGTTCAACACCAACTTCAGGGTTGAAGTCATCGAAAATGTCCATGAACTCGAGTTCACCGGGCAAGACATCGACTATCTCGACGTCCGCCGGCAAAACTTCGTCGTCCATCTGGACTTCCATGTTGTCCACGTCGACAATTTCCACATTGTCATCGTCCATAACGCCGTCTTCCATCACTGTGTGCGAGTGGGCTGCACACAAAACCGTTTTTTTGTAGTGGACTGTATGAGGAAAGGAAAAATAGAAGTAGGTAACGAGATTTTGTAACTCCAAATAAGGTGATCAAACAAAGAAAAATGTATTCTGAATACAAACAAAATAAAAGAGGGTTCGAACCACTTAATATTACTTAATTACTAACAAAAACATTGATGACAATAAATTAAGTAGGTACGACCTGGTCGACCTGGTGAAACACGGACGATGACGGCGAAAGTTGATAACACTGCTGGCTGATGACGATGAGAGTTGTGGACGGTGGTGTCGCAGACTGTGCGTGCGTGACGGAGACTCACGATTACAAACAAACGTTGGACAAGCCCGCCAAATTAAGGGTGAGACGACGTTGCATTTGAGCGTTCAACGGTTAGACCGGAAGAACTCGGCAGTTTGGGTACGCTGACACCAAACACCAGCAAATAACAACAAACGGAAAACGGCGGCTGCGGACACGTACGTCGCAACAACGATAACTCGTGATCGGCCGAGCAAAATCGAAAACAGCACGTCGACACTGACGAATAGATAATATACAAATTACAGGAATGCGGAACACGACGCGATTTTGGACGATACCGACAACGACACCATGATATGGACGAGAACAGAAAACACGAGACGGGTGGGTTTTTCGTACTCGCACGCGAGAACGGTTCAACGGCGACAACGACGGAGTAAAAACTGAGAAAAAACGTATTCAAAACAACGCGAGATAACGCGTCCGTGACGGCTGATACGACCGGCGGCAACGGTTGGTCGCGACCAAAAACAGCTGTGTCGGCGACGGCACTGTTCAGCGGTGGCCGCGTAAAACGCACGCACGCGCGTATGAGTGTGTACGCGACGTATTGTAATTTTGTACCGAACAATCACAACTTCAATGATGTGGTCCACATTGTCTTCGTCTTCCATCACGACTTCCATGTTCTCCACGTCTCCATGTTCTTCCACATTGACTTCGTCCATAACGCCGTCTTCCATCACAACTTCAATGATGTGGTCGTCCATCATGGCGTTTTCGTCCACAAGGTTAGGTGCAACTTGCACGGGGTCTCCACCTTCAGGCTCTTCAGCCACGCCTGGCACCAGTTGCCGTCCGACTACCTATAAATTAATAGGCGGTTAGTGTAATTCAATTTTAAATCATATATTTATTTATCAGTTAATTAATTGTATTAATGGCAGAGTAAAAATGTTTTATCGTTATTTCATAGTTCTAAAATGTCTATATCTTTTTATTTTATATTATTTATGTTTTACATTTTGATATATTATGTAATATATTATATTCTATGTTTTTATTGCTAAATGTAATAAAACTTATTTAAGTATACAACTTTAAAGTAATAATTTAATAATAAAGTAATAGTAATAATAACTTAAGTAATAAAGTAATAATTAAATCAAAAATTACAGTTGTATATATAATGTCAATTGTTTAATAAACTATATTGTAAGCATATTTGTCAAACAGATATTAGTTAAAACAATAGGAGCGCAGTTTAAAATATGTTTAGTCATAGCAAAAGAATGGTTCTGAAGCAGTGATCAACAGTTATACAATTAAACAGTTAAGTCAAATGAACAAAGGGAAAATTAATAAGTGAAATAAAAGTGTTGTGTAGAGAGACATGTACACTTATATCAACATTTGTTTGTAAGTGAAAGTAAAACAAAATATTAGTTTAAGGCAATCATTAAAAATCATAACACAGAAGTTTAACGTTTAAAGTCTGACTCTATGTCGAGCCATAATCAATGAATAGGTACATAATCATAGTCCATAAGTAGTAATAAACAGTTACACATTAAATAGTTAAGTAAAAATAAAAGTGTTCTGTTGAGGTATTAGGTATACGTCATGATCCTCAACAAAAATAATAATCAAATGAACAAATGCCTAACTGTTTAGTTAGTTTAGGTTTGAGCACGTGTAAATCAAGGTAATAGAATTAAATGTGTACGTGATAGTAAAAAAACAATATTAGTTATTATGTATTGTATAGTTATAGTATGTATATTGGTATGTATGTAACTGACATAACATTCATTGACATAATGCTTCTAATGTTATACTTAAGAAGTAAACATAATCATGAACAATAATGATAGTAATAAAGTAAGTTGTAACTAAGAGTTAGCCAGTGTATTAAAGTAATAATTAAAACAAAAAGTAAAGTACATGTCTTTAATGTTGAGTAGTAAATTAATGGTACTGAAGCAGTAAAATTGTAATACATGTAATGCTATAGTTAACTCACAGAATACAGTCTGTACGTTAAAGTAAAACAAAATATTAGTTTAAGGCAATCATACTTGAATATCTTTAAGCTTAATACATAAGTTTAACATTTAAAATTTACGTTTAAACTTTAACTCTAATACCGTTCATAAGTAGTAATATATAATTAACAGTTACACATTAAATAGTTAGGATGGTTGAGGATAGTTATATACAATATATAATAAAAACAATAAACAATGAGCAAATCAAAAGTAAAGGAACAAACGTATTTATGTAATAATGTAGTTAACTACAGTGTGTATGTGTATATTAGTATAATGTAGTCGTGCTTTAAATATCCTAACCTAACCCTAAAAAATATTTTTCTTACCTATATACTTACTAGCTGATCCCGTGCACTTCGTCGCCCTTTAAATGTATCAACTCAATATGAGTTATGACTCAAACTTTGTTCAATTCGTTATTCAATATTCGGTGTATGGTGTTCAAAATTTATCTTATCTTTTCCGTTGCCCGGAATAAAAATTCTGAATCGCAGCAGTACATTATCAGGTAGGCAATCTACCTGTGGTAGATCGCGGACCCCGTGCTGTTTGTACGGAAGTGTATGTTTTAACTCTAAATTATCAGTTATACCAAGTTTATTTTGATATAATACGGTGGATTAATATAACAAATTTGGTTGCTCGTAAAAAATCACAACTCTTAAAAAAATTATGATTGTTGAACTCCTTTTGGGTGTAACTTGCTGGGGTAAGTGCAACTCAGCCACCCTGGTAGGCAATGTTCAATAATTTGATTTGATGCAAGCTTGTACCTGATCTGCCCGAATAACCAATGGCAACCAATAAATAAATGCTAATTTCTAATGTAGACTGTAAGCAATGGCAACTATTAAATAAAAATAAAATTTCCAATTTCCATCTTGAATCTCAATGTCCCTGTTTGAGCACCTATTTAAAATGCGAATTTCGAAAAATCCTTTCTTAGAGCACGTCTACATCATAATAGCTATCTGTATGCCAAATTTCAGCCAGATCCGTCCAATGGTTTGAGCTGTGAGTTGATAGCAGTCAATCAGCTTACTGTTTTATATATACAGATATATATATTCTTTCTTCTTCTTCTTGGGTATTATCGGCCACTAGGACCATCCCGTCAAACAACCAATCCTCCATGACTCTCTGTCAGCTGCTTTTGTTTTCCAATCTGGGCCACCGTTCAGCGATTCCACGTCTTTCTTTATTAAATCTTCCCATCTTAAACGGGGTCGTCCAAGGGACCTTTTCCCTTTTGGGTTTTCTTTCAATACTACGTGTAGTAGTGGGTTCAGACTACGCCATGCGTGACCCGCCCATTGTAATCTCCTACTCTGGATTATGTTTAATATGTTTGGCTTCTGAAAGAGTTCTTCTAGTTCTTTGTTTTTCCTTATTCTCCATCCCTCAGTTTCATCGTCTTTTACTGGGCCAAAGATCTTTCTTAGGATTTTCCTTTCAAAAATAATCAGTTTGTTTTCCTCCGTTTTCCTCAATGTCCATGTTTCTGCTCCGTATGTAATTATGGGACGTAACAGTGTAATATATAATTGTAACTTTATATCTCTCGACAGGGATTGGGACCCTAGTATCCTTATGAGTCCGTAAAGACATTTGTTTCCCGATTGGATTCTTGCTGCCACTTCCTTATCAGTTTCATTTTTTTCGGTCAAAACAGAACCTAGATATTTAAATTGTTTGACTCGGTTGAAATCATGGTTGCCAACTCTTAAGGAAGGGTACATTCTGGTACTATCTTTTCTTCCCACCACCATGTATTCTGTTTTGTCTTCGTTTATTTGTAATCCAACCTTCTTAGCTGCCTCCTCCAAACGACCGCATAATGATCTTAATCCATCGTGTGATTTATCCATGAGGACCAAATCGTCTGCATAAGCCAATAATGCCACGGAGGAACCTTGTAGTGGCATCCCCTCCTGGGGTCCAATATTAGTTTCCCTGATAACCTTTTCTAATACTAGATTGAAAAGAACAGGTGACATTGAGTCCCCCTGTCTTAGTCCTGAATTCACACTTATTAGGTCGGTTTCCGCTTCTCCTACTCTTATTTTAATGAACGTTTCCATAATACATGATTCGATTAACTTAACTAATTTTTGTGGGAAGTTATACTCCCTAAGAATATTTATCAAGCTTTTGCGATGAATACTATCGTATGCCTTCTTGAAGTCGATAAAGAGCACGTGCATTTCCTTGTCGAATTCCCAGGTCTTTTGGAAAAGTTGTCGGAGAATAAATATTTGGTCTACCGTAGATCTTCCTGGTCTAAAGCCTCCTTGATAATCTCCAATGATTTGCTCCGATTTTGTTCTTATCCTTGACAAGATACAGTTCGTGAAAACTTTATACGCAACACTTAGTAGGGCAATTCCGCGATAATTATTGCAATCTTGTTTATCCCCTTTCTTATGAATTGGGCATACTAAGGCTATTTTCCAATCTTCCGGAACTTTTTCGGATAACCATATTCGGTGGATCAATTTCCACAACCTGAACGTCATTTCTTCTCCTCCTTTTTTGAGAAGTTCTGCATGAATTTGATCCTCGCCAGGTGACTTATGATTTTTTAATATTTTAATTTGGAATCTTATCTCGTCCAATGAAGGTTCTGGGCATTCTTGTTCTTCTTCAGCTACTAAGTTAAGGCTATAGACTTCATCAGGTGCTTCACAGTTAAGGAGAGTATCAAAATAATCTCCCCACTTTTTGGCTAATTCTTCATTCGTGGTTATCAACGACCCATTGTTATCTTTTAGGAATCTTTCCTTCTTCTTGTATCCACCAGTTAGATAATTTATGCGTTTATACATATCTCTAGCCCTATGTGCTTTGTAGTCTAGTTCAGCATTAACCATTATATTTCGAACATATTTCCGCTTCTCACCTCTTAGGATGTTGCTTGTTTCCCTTAGACGAGTTTTGTACCTTGCGAATAGTTCTTCGTTTCTCGTATCGTTTAACCAATGTTGCCTTGCCACCTTTCTTCTCTGCAGCGCTTCTTCGCAAATTCTATTGAACCAGGGTTTGGGTTTTAGCTTTTTTGTTCCTAAAGTCTTGTTAGCTACATTGCTTAAAGCATCTCTAATTTCTTCCCTACCCTCATCGATATTTCCTTCGAATATTCTTTGCTTACTTTGTAAAGTGTCCTTGATACTGTTTACAAAAAGTTTGCCTATATCATGATTTTCTAATTTATCTATGTCAAGCCTTCTTGAGTTTACTGGATTTTTTTTATCAAGTTTTTTGAGTTTCACTTTTATCCGTATGCCTAGTAGTAAGTGATCAGAACCAATGTCTGCTCCCCGCATTGTTCTTACATTCAGTACGCTGTTTTTGAATCTGTAGTTTACTAGTACATGATCTATTTGGTTTTTGTATCTACCGTCCGGAGATACCCATGTATACTTGTGTATATCTTTCTTTGGTAACATAGTGCTCTTTATCACCAGACCATTTCCTACTGCAAAATCAATCAGCTTTGCACCATTGTTGTTCGTATTTTCATGTAGGCTATGGTTTCCAATGACATTTCTATAGCATATCTCTCGACCTAGCTTAGCGTTAAAATCGCCTAGTACAATTCTTATTGTACTAGTTGACGAGGCAAATATATCTGCCAACGTTGCATAAAACAAGTCTTTTTCGTCTTCATCCTTCTCCTCTGTTGGCGCATGTGCATTAATCAAAACTGCATCAAAATTTTCGGATTCTATTGTTATGGTCGAAATTCTTGGGCTTATATCTCTAAATTCCTTAACTGTGTGAATTATTGATTCGTGTATTGCAAATCCTGTACCTAATTTGTAGGGGTGTTCACATTTCCCATTAAAAATTGTTGTTTGAGATACTTTAGTTGTTCCAGCATCTTCCCACCTAATTTCTTGCAAGGCTACACATTTCATCTTGTATTTTTCTATTTCTGTCACTAAATCCAAAGTTGCTCCTGGTTTGTACAAGGACATACGTTCCATGTACCACATAATAAAGCCGATTTCCAATTTCCTTTCTTTTTTCCGTTAAATCTTTCCCGAGGCTTGTTGTTTGCGTCCTGAACATAACTATTTTTTATATGGATGGGTTGTTAGCCCATCGCATAACCCCCAACCTGGAGGACCAGACCACTCCGATCACTTAAGATCAGAGTGGGGCTATTGCAGCACCCATTGAAGGGCACTGGGCGATAGGGACGCCACTTTCCCAACGCCTTTACAGATATATATATATATATGTATATATGTATATATATATTATAATATATAATAAAACAACATTACCATGACAATATTTATTTATTTACGGACATGTACGCTTTCGCGTTCGTACGGCCGCCCGTTCGTACTCGCCGCCCGTTCGCTTTTTTTTTTTCATCAATACCGTGCGTAAAGAAGTATAACTTCAAAAATAGATATTATTTAATCCAGTAGAGTGCTCCACATATATAATTACGCAATATTATAGCAATAATAAACGAAAAAAAGATTGTTGCAAATATGCAACAACGCGCATTGTAGGGTTAACAATTCATATCTACACGTATTATGGCGATAATTCTCGGAACAATTCATATCTACACGCCACCGACGATAAAACACATACAATAGAAAAAAGGTCAGGTTACAGATAGATATAATCGCGGTCGGCCACGGAAAAACCCGAAATACACCATGCAATCATACAAATTTATTAAAAAGTTAATTAAAATATTTAATGTATTAAAAAATTTGAAATAAAAACTATCCTATCTTTTAAGTTTGACCAAATTACACGCGGTGTAAAAAATTTCATCAAAATCGGTTAAGTGGTTTAGGAGTCCATTGAGGACAAACATTGTGACACGAGATTTATATATATTAACATATATCTTATAACTACTATAAATGTAATAAAACTTATTTAAGTACCTAGTAAAACAGAGTAAGTGGTTAAAGCACAGAGCTTAGTTTAAATTATGTTTAGTCATACTATCATAGTATATGATTGGTTCTGAAGCAGTTGTCAAATTTGATTACACATTAAATAGTTAAGTCAAATAACAAAAGGGAAAACTAATAAGTAAAATAAAATTTTTCTGTTGAGGTAGTTTTTTTAATTAGTTCACTAACAGAACACAGTGTGTAGGTGAAAGTATAAAAAAAAAACTATTAGTTATAGTACACAGTTACTCTCATCATATATATATATGATATATATAAGTACATTAGTATTATATTTAAGTGTATTATGTATGTATGCATGTATGTATGTATGTATGTATGTATGTATGTATGCATGCATATGTCCACAATAATTAAACTTTCGTTAGTAAGACAAAATATTAATTTAAGGCAATGAATAGGTTATAATAAATATTTAATAATAGTTCATAAGTAGTAATTAACAGTTATTGGAATTGTAAAATTGAATGTACAGGTTAGGTTAATTTCAAATTATTAAATGGCAATAGAACAGTTTTAATAGTCGAGTCAAATGCATTTATCATAATTTTTGGTCTTAAAAATATATGTCAGTATGAATTAAGCATGGGGCAGTATAGATTGTATTAATTCTACAAATGTACACACAATGTAAAGAAAATATCGCTCATAATATGTAAGTGAAGTCTTAATAACACTAAAAAACCTTATTTCGTTAATAATACTCAGTGATGTGTACTTAATAATGAACATACACTGCCGCATTCAGTAATACAATCTTTTACAATAATAATGACTTGATATAAGTACCTTCCTGTCGTAGAATAATCTAAAAATGTCATTGTAGTAAGCAGGTTTATTTTTGAGATAATAAAATATGTATACTGACTTTTGTTATAGTTAAATAAATAAATTTTAACTTTAAAATCAAGTACCAATCAAAATACAAAGAAATTCACAGAAGAATGTTTAATTGCTTGAGCATTTATACATATTTATATTCTGTCTAACAACAATAAATTTGAAACATTGTAAAAAACGTATTGCACTGTATAACAGTAAGTGTTATAGTGAAATCATAATATGATACATGTTGTAGTTCAAATCATTTTTCAAAGAGCTGTACAAAATAATGTTTAATTGAATGTGTATTAAAATAATATAAACATTTCTAAGAGTACTACATGTGAAATGATAAAAAACTTATCTAGTACCACAACTTACAAATGACCTAGATCAGTAGTAAGTAGTAGTAGTAAAAAAGAGTGTAGTTTAATACAGAATTTTAACTTAAAACAACAAAAAGTAAAACTTTTAATACATATTTAATATAATCTTGTGTTGGTTAGGTTTAATGTTCTTATATGTATAACCATAACAATTGTATTGCACTCTATAACACTAAGTGTAGGTACTCAAATGCAATAAGTGCATTTCTATGAGAATTTCATTATATGATAAGTTGAATGTAAAGTTTATGTTACATTAAAATAGCATACATGGTGTGTAATAAAATCAAGTGCACCTATATTTATCAAATAAGTAACATTGCAGTACAAACAAAGTTAGTTGTATAAATAAAGTAAACAAAGTACCTACTGAAATGATCTAAATGAGAAAACACTTATCCAGTTAACAATTCACAAAAAAAAGGAGAGGTAATACCTACTTTGTGTAGTATAACATTAAGAAAATGTGTCAAGTGTTCCGTTTAGGTCAATACAGTAAAAGTTGATATATTAGTATAGTTATAATTTTAGTCAAAGTATGAAAATAAGCTCGACCCAGTGTTTGATATGCAATTGAAATCTGAAACAGCAGTAACACAATTGAATGTCGTTCAAGTTATTCTACAATTTAATTTCTTTACAATAGTTTATATATAATTGTTTTCAAGAATGTTGTACCGAGCCATTATAGTATAGTAGGTAGGTATATAGCAGTAGCAGTTATGTACAGAAACAATAATATGTAAACAATAATATGTATCTAAAAGCATAGTGAATAATTAAGCATGTAAGGAATGTTGACAATTACATACTACAGTGGGCCACACTATCCAACATTATATTAAGTAATTTCCATATTGTAAATGTTATGAAAATTGATCAAACTTGAAATGATAAAGACACGATTATCATGTTTATTAGTATACTTGTGTGAGCTTATATGCATTATGTTGCAACAAAAACGTTGAATGTCATTGAGTTAAGTTATCAAATTAAGTTAGGTTGCTTGCCGTTAGCCACAAGTTTGAAAGACACAGTAGGTACATTAAACCCATGAGAGTACACAACAGTATTAGTATTAGAAGTCCAGCCAGACGGGCATACAGGCATGGTGCACTGCAATGAATTCACTCACCAAAGACGGCACTGCTGCGGGCCTCAAACGGCGGCGCAGCGCGTTTCCCACAGCGTAGTCGATACCGGGGACGAAATGCCTCGAACACAGCTGGGGGCCTATTCTTGAAAGTAGTAGAACGATAGTCGTATACGAATATTTGTACTTTTTCTACTACTTTGACAAAACCGTATTCTTGAACGCCGGTAGTATACCGGATATAATATTAATATATATTTTTTTATTAAAATCAAGACTCGGCTTTGTCATTGTTTGACATTATATTTGAATGTGTTACGTTCAAGTAAATAAAAAATTACGATAAAAAATGGTAAAAAATATAATTTTTTAAAAAAGATTATTTTGTAACAACATATACAAGCTATAGAATAATATTTTCAAAAACGTTAAAAGTTAATAGTTTTTGATATAGCGAGTAGTTCATGATAAAATGATCATCCTGTATAATAAAATAACTATAATTTATTATGGTGCATTCCAATATTAAGTATCTACTACTTATTATGACCAATTAATAGGTAGGTATTTACCTATATAATTATATATATAATGTATTAATATGTATCCCTTAATATTTAATAATAAGGTTTATTAAAATATAATATTAATCACCTTTTATTTATTATTATAATTATTTATATACATTATGCATCAAACATATTACGATATTAATTTATTTCTAACTTAATTATGTTTTGAAAGTTAAGATAATATATATTAAAAACTAGTTGATTATATCTATATGCACTGCATATCATATTATGTTATGACTTAAGGATTATTTAATTAATAACAAAAATATTTCGAGAAGTACCTACTAAAACAGAAATGCTTAATTAATTGTCGACTTAATGTTATTTTTTTTTTAAATATTTTAAATGTTAAGTGATTAATTTAAATTAATACTAGAGATATTTTCTTAAACATGTACCTACAGTGATATTTGATTATGGGGTAAATATTTTTATTTTAGATATTTTCTTAATATCTTATGTTAGAATTTCTGTTTGTTTCATCAATATTTATAATATAATACAAACTTTATAATACATACTAATGTAATCATATATACTATAATCATAAATGACAACTAACATAATTACTTTTCGCCATTCATGCCATTCTTCGGCCGGTCCGGGGATGCTGTTTAACTTAGTTTGGCATTCCACCCACTTTTTTTGCCATTGCCGTTGTAAAATTTATAGAAAACTTGCCTTTTCTTAGATCGGGGTGGTTTTCCATAAATTCCACCAAAGCTTCTTTTTGTGACGGTGTCATCGACTTTCTCGCCATCGTACAAAAAAAAAAAAAAAAAACAGAAGTAAAACAAAAAGACACAGGGATCGAGAACGGAAAGGTCGCTATAAAAAAAAAGAGTGTAATATTGAATTTCTACTAATTGCGCGTGCTCATATAAATTTCGACCAATGAACGGACGGCATTGCAATGTTGCCGTTCCGCACCATTCGAATAATATTCGTGCACGACCAGTTCTATTACCAACTATTCTATTGGCGTTCAAGAATACGGTTTTGAGTTGGTAGTAGAATATCTACCAGTAGAATGGTTCGTATACGAATATCGTTCTACTACTTTCAAGAATAGGCCCCCTGAGATGTGTGGTTCACGGGAAAACCTTGGTCCACCACAAATGCCACCCACTGAAGACGACGTTGTACGGCGATTGGAAATCTAAGTGGCGA